TCCTTGCAACACTGGCCATGCTGACTTCGGAAAGTCGGCCCGCCTCCTCCCTCGGACGATCGCTGGCCAACAGTCGTGGCCCTCGCACTGGCTGCGAGGCCCCCCGAGCGTCGAGGACACAACCCCATCCTTCGACCCCGACCTCCCCCCCCGCCCCGAAATCGGCGATTTCTCCTGAGCCCCCAGAGGCCCCGACGGGCTCCTTACGCTGTTTGGGGATGGCTCGGGGGGCAATAGTTGTCGGACCCACGTCGCAGGAGAGTTGGCTCAGAAGCGCGCGCCTCCGAGGCCTTTCCAGCAGGTGGATGGGCCCCTGTTTCGGACGTCGCGCGCAGCCCTGGAGGCACCCGGCAAGCGGCCCCCAGGGCGGAGCTCACGGCGCCCAGACAGGCCCCCGAACTGCTCGCAGGGTCCGCTCCGCTGTGTCGCAGGATCACCTTCCGCTCGTGCGCGCCTGGAACAGAGGTCAGCACCTGGCGACGTCGCTCAGTGGCGTCAGTGCCGATCTCTGGTTCAGGATAGCAAGAGCTTCCAGAGCTCGCGGGCCCCACCCTGCCACTCTAGCCTGGACCCCCATCCCACCGAAAGGCCGAGGACCCCCGCGCGCCCCAGGGCCCTTGGCGGGCCGTGGGCAACGAGTGTGCCGACGAGCTTGCATCCCGAGGAACGCCCACAGGCTGGTCTGAATTCGCCCAGAGGGCCCCTACCACAGACGCGGCGGCCACGGGCACTTATCGGATCCGAAAGCGTGCGAGGAGGGTTCTGGTGGAGTCCATTCGGGCAGACCCCGTGGACCAAAACCCGCCCCTCGGCCCCCGCCCCGTTCGGATCCCGAAGATCGAGCAGACCAAGAGAGCCTCCCAGCACGAATGGCGCAGGTTCAGGCACGAAGTTCTATTGCAAAACAAGTGCAAGATGTTCGTGAATCGCTCCAGTGTTTTAGATGTGGCCCCCACGAAGTGTGCCCATGTTGCCCCTCCCCCAAGAATCGCGCCCTTGAACGGAAGGCGGGCTCTGGGAGGCCAGGTTCTGAGCGAGTCCCATGCCCTTCAGTATTGGGGTGAATACTTACGCAGGACGAAAGATGTTCCTCTTGAGGTGCAAATGGCCATGAGGAGTTCGCGAGACAACGTCGGCGCCGCCGAACGGACGGCAGACGAGCTGTTTGCAGCAACTGGGGGGGGGAGAAGGATGTATGTATTCATGTTGAATGGGGCCCGCTCGCGCGGGGAGTTGATGGGAGTGCGCGAGACGACGCAGCGCCCATCGTGGAACGTTGCTTACCGAGGCCCCCCCCCCTAGAATCTTAACACGGGCGGTTTGCGGGGCCCGCGGTTCCGATTTCTTCCGGCTCCCTGTTTTAAGTTAATCATATAAATTTAAAACAGTGTAGAAATCGGATCCGCCGTGAAAAAATAAGACCGAACACGGATCCAGCAAATCCGAAATCGGATCCGCGCGGACGGAAATCGGATCCGCCGAAACACAAACCAAAACCAACATTGGATCCGTGCGAACTCCATTGGATCCGACGGCGGGTATTTCACACGCGTCTGCTTAAGACTTCAAACCTTCGCTGCAGGCCCAATTGGAAAAAACTTTCGTCCTGGGGATGTACAAACTCGTTTTTGTTGCAGTAGGTGCGGGATGTCCGCGACCACCGACCCCAGGCACCTCTGCAAGCCTTGCGCGACACCAACCCCCAAGGGGAAACAGAATCTGGCGCGGATTGTTCGGGGCCTCCACCCACGTGTGAAGGGCCCGCCCAAGATTGCTACAGCAGCTAATTTCGAGGATCCGCGCCAATGAGATTCGTTGCCCTACGGTTTTGCGCGGCACAGATCCTCGCGTTGCAGAATTTATCCCGCCAGGGGGGGGTCTGGCGCTCAAGCGGGGCCTGATTTAGGCCCTAACCCTCCCTCTGGGACTAAATCTCGACGTTCGTTGTCGCATGCCCTTTATTCCTATAGTCCCTCTCCCCCTCCTCCTCCTACTCCTTCGGCAGGGTTTGCGGGGGCTAAGGGGCGGGGGCCATTGTCGCAGTGACGCCTCATCCCCATGTTGCAACGCAGCGTCTCCGCGATGCAAGTACAACGCCCCCGTGATGGGAATCGTTTGTTCCGTTTTGCACACATCGTCTGCATGTTGCAAGTGCAACGCGTTCGAATTGCGACGCAACGGCACAACGTCTCTGGGTTGCAACGCCATCATACTGCAGCGCAGAACTTCCGCGATGCAGTGGTCCCTTCTCCCGCGGCCCTCGGTCGCCTGTACAATCCCTTCTTTTGCGCAGGCCCGTCTCTGCTCCAGCCTACCTGGGGCAATGTCGGCTTCGCTCGAAATCAAGCGATCCCTTGTGTCTAGTGTTTGGCGTGTCTCAAGTCTCCGGTGTTTGTCGCATCGTTGCTCTATGGTGCCCAGTGCTCACGATATCATCATAGCCCTGCTTTGTGCGATGGAGGGATCCCAGGCAAGTAGTCATGAGAGGGGCAGCGGGTGAACACTGGTGAAACAACGAGGGGGGCCTGTCGAACCAATGTTTGGAAGCCTGTGGCTCCTTCTTGGCTCACCAGCCTCCCCAACTCTGCGTTTCGTCATCCATGGAAACCCCACCAGCTCCGCGGGGGTGGGCAATGATCTTCCAGTTTTGCGTGTGCCGTGCGTAAGGAAAGTGCCCCGTACTCCAGGTACACCATACTGCTTCTTTTGTCCGGATCCCCCACTGGACTCGTCTTGGAAAAGTTTATCCGCTAAACCACCTACGTCCAGAGGCCGATATGTCCAGCACGACTGGAATCTCAAGCGCAGCGGCACATGCACTGCCGAGGGCCCGCCCACGATTCGCAGCACGACAACGGGACCTGCAGCATGTGGCACTCCAGCACTGTTGCGCATTTGCCCAGGACGCGGCGGGGAGCAGGATGTCCGCGACCTCCCGCGCGATTGGGACACGTCGGGGCAAACAGCCGTAGAGTGGTTCAACAACCATGCGGGGCACGATGCGGCGCGACCACCATGACGGTGTGACTGCGCTTGCGCCTAGGAGCTTTGTCGCGGCGGGGGGTACGACAAGCGAGACCTCGCGGCAGTGGTGGGGCCCCAATTGCGACGTTCGTTCCGCCGCAGCCTCGCAGGCCAGCACGCTTGTCCAACCAGTAGAGTCAGCGTCGCACATGAGTTGCATGTTGCCCACGGCCGTTTCGCAGATGATCCGCGACTCCACCTACCGTCCCTGCTCGCTTGGGATGGACTGGGCGCCGCCTCTCTTCCTGTAGTCAACAAGTCATGTTCCAGCGGCCCTCCATACTCGATCTACGCGTCCCGCGTTCATCAGTATACACCACTTGGCATGACCAGGGGCGAGCAGTATTGGCTTCGGGTTATGAGTGCACCTGCTGTTCCTTCTTCCCCTCCTCCTCGTCCTCCTCTTGACCCCGCGTGCAGGGGGTTCGGCCCCTCATGCGCAGGCGCAAGCGAGGCGTTCTGCGGGGAGCAGCAGTTCCCAACTGCAGTAGTGGTGGCATCCGAGTTACCTCCTGCTTCGCGCGGTGGACCAGGCTGCCACTAGGGGGACCCACTGGGCCATGCACGCAGGGGTTGTCGCAGGGGTGGCGCCGCACCGTCTATTTAGCACCTAAAACCTGCAAAAGTACGATGAAGCCCAGTGCAAATGTCACAGAGACAGTGCCGCACACTCCCTCGAGTCAGGAGACCGATGGCGGACCATTGCAGCAGCATGTTCGTAGCCGTTTTCGGGGATGCCACCCTACAGCGGCACAGATCCGAGAGGATCATCATAGGGCATTGAAGTGCGGAGGGGGTGATGGCCAGCCGATGCGGTCATTGGGAAATGGGACATCGCCGGGTGATCCGCATCAGACACCTCGACGCCGTGATTATACATCATCTCTTGTTTTCGGCCATTGTTAGAGTTACCCCCCCATGCACCGCACCGCGCTTGCCGACGGGCTCAGGTGTTGGAGGCCCACTCGTGTCCTAAGGACACATCCAGCACAATCCTCTTTCTCCTCCTCCTCCTCCTCCTCCTCCTCCTCGTTCTCCTCCTCCTCCTCTTCCTCCACGTCCTCTCCCCCGAGCCTGATCCCTCTTTTCTGCCTTGCTGCTGTTTTCTTCCCCCAGACTGTTGCCCCTGCTTGTTCTTCCTTGTCCCGCTCTCTCCGCTTCCTCCGTTCGCTGCTGTTGCTCTGCTTTGCCCCCCCATGCCGCTCCACAGTGTTCCCTCCGTCTGTACTTGTTCGTGTCGGCTCAGGTCCCCTCCTGTCCTTGCCGACCTGTCTCTCGTTTTTCTCTCTCTCTCTCTCTCTCTGCGATTCCCTCCTCGCATCTCCCCGTTCGCCTCGCCCCGCCTGTTACGCTCAGGCCTCGGGATCGCTCTTCCCCGCTGTCGTGCTCTTTTCGCTTGGTTGTCAAGGCTATGTGCCTGCACCACTTGGCAGTTTTCGATTGCTTCACCGTAGCGGTGCATTCGACAGCGTATACACTTTCATCTCTGGAGAAAAATCATGTTGATCGAAGTTAGCCCCGAGGCGGGCTGTCTCAGGCCTCGGGAACCACACAGAGTATGGCCCAGGCGACACCACCAAAAACACCTTGACGTATACATGCCCATTGCTTTCTCCATGAGCTATAGGTCGTCGCCGGTCCGCTCGGCTCGGGCGCGCGATCTGCTCGGTAGGTTGATCAGCAGTGTACTCACCGCGGCCGTGGCTGTTATCCCACGACCTGGGCCCCGGGGCTCTGATCAGCGCGTCGGTCTCCCAGACATCAGGAGGGAAAAAAACACACAGACACAATTAATCGGCGATTCCCAGAAAATATGGGAAAATATGGGAAGTGGGGGGGAAGACAAAAGCCCAGAAAATATAGGAAAATATGGGGGATATTTTTATGTGTGTGTATTTATTTGTGTGTCCCAGTTCCCCTTCAAGACAGTGCAGATCCCCGCCACGTCGGTGTTGGCCACTCACCCCTATGCTCAGGAGAAGCCCTGCGGCGTGGAGGACCCGCCGCGCCCCCCCCCGCTGCAGGGGAGGGGGGGAGAATCTGGGCACGAGGAAGACCAGGAGGAAGACGAGGAGGATCACAGTCACTCCCCCGGGCGGAAGGAAGAGACGCGGAAGGTCGGGGGCGGAAAAGAGGGGGGTGATGACTAGGGGGGGGTGGATATCATGGCGTGGGCCATGATATCTCCCCAGATTTCGTGGCGCCTCTTCTTGTTTCATTACGTCCCTGGCCCCCCTGCTGGGCCGCGCACATGCCGCAGGTCATTATTTGCACCCCCCTCTCTTGGACACCCCCCTCTTGGCCGCTCCCGAGAAGGAACGGGAGGTGGTCACAGTCACTAGTCACTACCCCCTGCTTCCCACTGCAGCCGTGACGCCAGTGCGCCCCTCTGCGCTTTCCGTGCTCGATCTGGGGCGCCTCGGCGGCGTGACGCGGCACGCCGCCCGCCCCTTCCCAGCTCGGAGCGCAGGCCACATCCGGGGCCCTCCAGAGGGATGAAGCATTCGAATGTCCGATCTTCTCCATTTCCTCTTCCTTCGTCCTCCTTCCTCCGCTCGCACGTGCTGTGTCGACTGGTTGTTCAAGTCGCGCTTCAGCGCATGAGGTTGTCCACTGCAGGTCGGAGTCCGTGCCGTTCCCAGTCTGCTTGTCGACTTGTGGATTCGCGATGTGATTGTGTCACCCGTGGTGTCTTGCGTGAGCAAAAGCACAGGGCCTGTCGGAGGGCCAAAGAATGGGGCCACAGTGAGACCTGGACGGCTTCCGAGTTTGGCGAGTGAAGGCCTCCAACCACCACCAGAGAGTTTGCAGGAGTCGTTTGGTTTCCCTCGAGTTTCCAGAGGCTTGTGCATCGGCTTCCAAGAGCGTGGTGCTGGCCTCACTGAGATCTCCTGGGGCCTTCCGTGGGGTTGCGGCTGCTTGCGGTTGGCGTCGCAAGGATCGCGTGCGCTGTGGCGCCGCCAGCCTGCTTTTTTTGTACGCTGTCCCCACACAAGGGATAGCGTGCACAGAGGAAGCGACGCGACACGCTGTCACCGAGATTATTTGCACGATATCCCCCACTGGTGTCCGAGAGAACACGCGCAACATCGAAATTTGTGCTCAAACCTTCCATGTTGAGGGATAGCCTGCTTTCCGGAGGTCGGTGTTGCGCGCCATCCTTGCGACGCCAACCGTACAGGGTTTTCGGATAGTGGGCCGCAGTTTGCCTTCAGACGGGCGAGATCGCATTCACAATGCGCTTTGAATTCTGAAGCTGGGCGCATCCTTTTTAGACCTTGCATTTATCATTTGAATGTGTTGCTGGGCATCCCACGTGTCAAACCCAACGCTTCTGGGTTGCGCGCTACAAGGATGTGTTTCACATAGTCGCATCCAGTTAGGATGTGAAACTATGTTGGTCCAGTTTTCTCCCAGGCTGGTGGAACGCGATTTCATCTGGCTCACAGACTAGATCTGACATTTGTCGGATCGCCACACAGTTATCAAAAGCAGATGCGTTCAGTGCTGCCTGCGCTGCTTGCTCGCCAACCATCTCAAGCAGAGTACTTTGAAGCGCCCTGGTGCCGGATGCAGCCAGGCATCGATCCTGTTGGTCCATTCCAGTGCCAGGTTTCCCCATGCACTGTGAGTTCATGGTTATTGGTGTCCAGAAATCGTTGGACGGGCTACGTCGACGCGAGAAGTGTACGGAAGCTGTCGAATCGAATGGCACATCCGACATCACAACGCAACGGCTTGCATCGTTAAGGGTGGTCAGATGGTAATCACAGATAGCCCAGCACATGTTTCCTACATCTCAGTGATGGTCGTGGCATTGCGGGATGGGGCCCAAAGTAATGCGTAAAGGGCTGTGGAAGGCCCGCCGGACTTTATAATCGGTCGTCGCGCGCTCAACTTGACGCGTGTCTTCGCTTCGGAGTTCGGCCCGCATGCGTTCGAAAATCATGTTATGGAGCGCCAGATTAAGGCCGACGGCTAACTTCTTTATGGCACGCATCGCCTGGCAAGCATGTTCGTGCCAGGAGCGCGTGAGCGCTTGGTTTGAGAGCGCGGCCACGCAAGGTTCGTGCTTGCCAGAAACTCCTATTGCGCTCTGCGCTCTGCGCTGGACCCAGCTGAGTCCAAAACGTTTAACTCTTCGCGCATTACGGATGGGCTCCGTAGCCTCTGGCTCAAGCCATCTCCCGGGGGCGTTCCCCCCCCTGGGGCCAGGGCTCGAGGGGGCGCCTGCACGCTGCGAGCACGGGCGGGCCGCGCCAACGCGGGTGCCGTTGATGCCCGAGCCCCCCGCTGCGTTCCCCCCCACCCCCCACCCCCCGACCCCCCTGGCAACGCACGCCCCCCGCACGGAGCATCGGGCATCGGATCGTGCTGACAGGATGGGGGAGGCTGTGAATGCGCCGCCACAGACCGAGAGTCGTGCGCCGGGAGGCGATGACCCCCCCACCCCCCTTATCTCTCTTTCTAAGTTTGATGTGCTCGCGGCGATCAGCCGCCGACCGCGGGAAGAACGGACACCAGATGCCGGTTAGATGTCCAGTCGCACACCCGACCACGAGGGCCCCCCTTCTTCTGGCTTTGCGAACGTCAGACGTCAGCCCGAGGAGGGGCCCGGGGGCGCCCCACCTCTCATCAGCGTAGTTGCGACGATCAGTCGCCCACCCAGGAAAGAAGACGACGCGAAAAGTGCGCCCGCTCCGCACTGTTGCATCCCTGGGGAGCTACCTGGCGACGACATCACCCCAACCGCCCCATTCGATCCCGCCCAGGCTATGGGGACACACGACAATGCCGAGACACGACGCAACGGCAACCTCGACGGCACACCCGTGGATGGTCACGGTCTTTGGAACCTCGCACGCAACATCGCGGGAGCTGGCGGCCGCGTTGCGCTTCGAGCCACGCCACGCGGCAGAGCCATGCAGGAAGCTCCCCGGCGACGCACTCCGGAGCTACGGATGCCTTCAGATGCCGAGCAGGAACGCGCTGCCGCCGCGCCAGCTGGCGGACTCAGCGACGAGGAAGACGGCCCGAGGCGGGCATCGGCTGCTGGACCGCGGGATTTCATACCAGGGGGGGGCACCCCCGCGAGCCCCCCTCCCCCCCCCAGAAAGCGGTGAGAGGCCACGGGGTGAGGCGCGGACTCAGGGAGACAGTCGCTTTGTCCCCGACCCAAGAAGACGACGCACCCAAGGGGGGCGACGCTGAGCGTGACACATATCTGGACGCCCTCCATTCAGAAATTGACTACTGCCTCTCATGGCATGCCAACGCTGGCGCCACGACCTGGAGACAACGCGAAACAAACGACGTGGCCCATATCCCCCCGGCGCCCCAAGCTGTCTGCCTCGCCCGCGCAATCGCCAAAAAGGCCGCGCGCACCATGCAAAATACAGAGGACGTGTCGTTGGTTACCCGTTCCTCCCGACGCATCGCTGGCAACCTGCTGCCATCGTGCGTCATTGGTTGCTTGCGGCCCTGGGCGCGTCACTCGCTGCCTGCTGCCTGAGACGCGTCGCGTCTCTAAGTACATGCAATGACTTTCCTTTCGTCGCACGAACGCCACGATCGTCTTGAGCCTTATCAGAGGGGGCCCAACATGTAGACGGGGCCCTCTTGGAGCCTTCGTTGAGCCCTCTTCGGACCCTGCGGGTGGGCCTGGGAGATCTCGCGGGGCCGCCTGGGCCCCCGCGGTTCAAGATGAGGGGGGTGCTTAATTCCTGACGCTTCGCGCGTCCCCACCAGCGGTCGACTTTCAGGGTTCAGACACTGAGGCGCCGCCAATGAGTCCCGAGCCGCCGACAGTCAGCGACCCCCCCGCGCCCGCAGACGCCACCGAGGAGGGACCCCGCGGGAAGGCCCCAGCTCGCACGGTCGCAACCAGCGTCACCGACAAAGCAAGCAGCAGCTACGACCCCGCTGACAAACGGAAACCGCTGGAAGCCCCAAGCACCTGGAGGGCAAGGGGGTCGCGCGACAGGCCAGCCTGGGCCCCAGCATTGGGCCGCGGCAAGGGGCGCGACCGCCCGCCGCGTAGCCCGCGCGAGCAGGCCCAAGAAAGCAGGCCACGCACGCATAGTCCCGCAAGCATCGAACTGGCTCTAGAGGGACAAGGCTAAATGAAGCGAAACTCCTCACTTCCTTAATCAACGTCCTTCAAGATGGCTCCAAGAGCATCGCCAAGCTTCCCAAGAGCGCCCCAAGAGGGCCCAACGAGGCGCCAAAGATGCTCTAAGCGGCGCCCAGGGGGCCTCCAAGAGGCTCCCCAAGAGCTCCTCCTCCTCCTCCTCCTCCTCCTCCTCGTCCTCTTCCTCCTCCTCCTCCTCCTCCTCCTCCTCCTCCTCCTCCTCCTCCTCCTCCCCCTCCTCCTCCTCCCCCTCCTCCCCCTTCTCTCCCTCATCCCACGGCCGCAGCTGGAACGCGCGCGACAACGCACAGGCGTGCGGGTCCACTTGGTCAGACCGCTCTCAAAGTAGCCGCGCCAACGGGATGCGGCATCACGGCGAGTGGCGCGACAGAGCCGCCAGCCCACTCACGACGGGCGACCGTCGCGCCCCAGACGGTGGCCACGCGCACAAGGCGCCCACGCGCCTGGTGGAGGCGCAAGGGGAAGCTCGAGAACGACCGCCACTTCATCAAGAGGATTCGGGGGTGGACAGAACCCCCAACAGTGACACGTCGATTAGTGAATTGTCCGTTTTCGGTTCTCGAGAGGGCGCCGCGGCCGTTATTTTCCAGGCTTGCGCCCGCCAGGTTTGGGCCTCAGGTCGTTTTCACTAAACCACGTTTTACTAAAGGGAGGTCTGTCCATCCCCGAAGATGCAGACAGAGCTCGGTGTCACTTTTAAAGGTCTGGCACCTTCGGGCGGAGCGTCACGAAATTTCGCTCGGATTCGCTCCGAAGAATCCATGGGAGCAGAGTCTGCGCACCTGCGAAGCCTTCCTGGACGCATGGAACTTCTGCAGCCGCGACGCCCATGAGCTCAGTCAGCAC